TTTTAGTGGTTTTGGTTTAAAAATACAAAAAGCTATAAATTATGTACATCAGCTGAAGAACAAATTAATTACCTTTATGGTGACGTCATTCGTTTTTTAATCGGTTATAAAGTTCATAAGATATTAATATTTAAAATATCTAAAAGCTGAACTTTAAACTTCTAGAACCTCTTCATTTTTTACTTGCGCCAAATGATTTGGTTTTGCATAGCTGAACGGTCGGTATTCTAGATTTTTTCCCGGAAATGACGAATAACTTAAATCAAAATTACATATTTTTATGTATTGTTTAGTATTTCCATTAAAACACCAAATATATTGCAAATTCGCATAGAATTAATATAACACATTTTACTTCTAATTGTATACTTTGCGTACTTTTTGTAGTACCATTCTACTACCGTTTTCGCAAAATGCGATCACATTCTTCCCCTTTCTCTTACTTCCAAAATACAAATCTAGATAAAGGAGTGTCAAATTTTAGTTGTCACAAATTACGCAACCTTGTATTATTGAATCATGTTTTCTATCAAAATTTTTTTTTTTTGTTTTTTATTTTATTTTTTATGTACATATGTTACCACATAACTTTGGACCACGTCAACCGATTTCGATAATTTTTTCTATCGGAAAGGTGTTGCATCAAGGGTGGTCCCATACTAATTTGGTATAGATCCGAACATTTGGCCATGAAGAAATTAACGGTACTATTAAATTTTTATATGAGAATTGAAGTCGGTTTTGTTTTTTGCTAAAAATTACTTGTTTATTATTTCAAATATAACTGCCACAACTAAATAAGCTTAGTTTCAGATAAATTTTTATTAGCGTAAGGCTCAATGCGCTAATTAGGGATGGCTGTTAGGCTGAGGCAAAGCGGCACTATAAGTTTAGGGCAGGGGTTGACTATTGTTCCGCACCTATTTAAATGTATCAGGTAGTGGTTTTTATTCCTAGGATATGTTTAAAGAATATACTTATGGCCGCCTAGATCGGTCAAATACCCCTATGTCCGATGTAGAGAACAAAGGTAGCGCATTCTGATAATTTGATTTTGCCGATTTGGAAAATGCTCTTAATGTTATTTTTTAATTCTTTTTTTAAATCATATATTTCTACAATTTAAAAAAATTAAACGTTTCCTATCGAAAGATTTAAAATTAAGAAAATTTGCTCTTCTGACAGTTTCGTTTTTTATCCTATTCGGCCTTGTCATCGCCGCCGGGAATGCGCAATCTTGTAAAGTTATTTCTTCTTCTTTCATTTGCCCAAGATTTATGTGAGTATTTTGTTTTTGTTTTTACTGATTTAGCAGCACGTCCGCCAAAAGCAAAAACAAAATACCTGGGATTGTTGTTTTTTTATTGTTGCTACCACCTAGCATGATTCAATAACACTGGTCGACGGCCAAAATTTACCAGAGACGCCGTTATGAAATTCGTATGTAAAATCACCCCCTGATTCCGAAAATCAAGGTTATTTTTAATTTTATGGTACCGTTTTTGAGATATTTGCAATTTACCGTTTTTGCAAAAAAAAAAAAAAATTGAGTCCACTTAATCATATATATCTCAAGAACGAATTAAGCAATTCCAAAACGGTTTGAAGCTTTTAAAAGGTAATAAAATTTTCTATAAACTGTGCATACAACACTTTTTGCTAGGCCCTGTAGATTCAAAGATAACGAACAATCATTACCGATTTTTTCAATTTTTTTTTGTAAAAATATAAAAAAAATTGTACTTTGCGGGGAAGGATCTCGAAAATCTTTTATTTTTTTGCAGATTTTTTTTTCTCCCTAAGCTCTGTTGTATTACAAAAAAAATAAGCTATCATCGAAGAAAATCGATGCAAAACTACGTAAGTTATAAGCGATCAAATAAAAATACCCAGGTTGCGCAACTTCAATGTATGTACCTATACATACATACATATATTAAAGGTATAAAGTGCAAGTGAGATATTATCCGGATAAACGAATAACACCATAACAATGATAACACTTTTTCTTTAAATAAATCAAATAGTACTTTTAATACTCGAATTGTATTATAGTAGGTAGAGTGGTTGCATCGAAAGGAAGAGTGGTTGGGTTCGAAACCTGCTATAGGCATGTAGTTATAAACATGTATTTCCGTCAGTTATGGGTAAGTATGCAGGTAGATTTTCAAAATTATAAGACACAGAAAATTTCTAAAGCCTACATCTAAAACAGGTAGTATTTTCTTTTCCCGGCTTGTTATAAAAAGGAACCTTTCTGTCTAGGTAAGATTTGATTTTTTCAATTTTATTCTTGTTCCGAGTATAAATATGAGTTAATGCGCTTTGAAACTTCATAACATCTTCAAGGCTCGCCGGAGATAGTTCAGTTCATAAGTCTAATTTCAAAACCGTGATTTATTAAAAAAAATAAAATGAGTAAAAGGACGCGAGAATTTGAGTGTAATAAGGATCCAGATATGTTCTGTTTCATGTGTGGCCAATATACTATCATAAGGCGACGACGAGTGTTCTCAGATCATATCAAAACTTTATACTCCAAGAATTTTGGAATTGAGCCTAAAAATGCTGAAAAACCATGGACACCGAACACTTTGTGTACATCGTGTCGAGTAGAATTGATTCAGTGGGAATCAGGACAACAAACAAAATTTGATACACCAATGATATGGAGAGAACCTACTTGCCATTCAATAGAGTGTTATATTTGTCAAACAAAAGTACTTGGCGTTGGAAGATCAAGAGGAGTAACCTATGCTAGCGTACCTACAGTGACATTACCAGTACTACATTCAACGGCAGTTGCGGATCCAGTTCCATTGTCAACAGTAACATCTGAGTGCGGGGGATCAAGTTGTACTGAATTTCGCATGGAAAACGAAAGAAACGTTCTGTCACAAGCACAACTTAATGATTGGATAAGAGATTTGGAACTATCCAAGGAAAAGGCCGAGATCCACACTTCTCGTATGCAACAATTTAAATTTGTGTCATCCGATGTTAAGGTGACATATAGTAGAACTCGTCACGAACCATTTTCCAAACACTATACCAAGAAAGACAGTATATGCTACTGCAACGACATCCCTGGTTTATTCAAAGAGTTTGGTCAAACATATGATTCAAAAGAGTGGCGATTGTTCATAGACGGCAATAAACTGAGTTTGAAGGCTGTATTATTGCATATTGGTAACAAAAAGCCTTCTATCCCGATTGCACATGCAGTAAATATAAAGGAAACCTACGAGGAAATGCAAAAAATACTCAAATTTATCAAATATGAAGAGCATGATTGGAAAATATGTTCTGATCTCAAAGTCGTTGCAATAAGATAAAGGAAGGTATTTTTGTTGGACCACAAATAAGAAAGTTGATCAACAATAATCAATTCAAAGGACTACTCTCATCAGTTGAGGCAGCAGCGTGGGAATCCTTTGAAAAGGTCGTTGCTTCTTTTCTCGGTAGACACAAAAGCCCTAACTACGAGCAGATAGTGAACGACCTAATCAATAATTATGCGAAAATGGGCGTAAATATGTCTTTAAAAATTCACTTTCTCCACTCACATTTGAGCTTTTTTCCGGCAAATCTTGGCGACGAAAGTGATGAACATGGCGAAAGGTTTCATCAGCAAATGAAATTAATTGAGAATCGATATCAAGGATTCTGGGACGTCGCAATGATGGGTGATTACTGCTGGTTTCTCATAAGAGAAACCGATCCTAAACTGAATAAGCGTCAAAGTAGAACACATAATTATTTCGACAACATAGTAAAATCAAATTAAGATAAAGATTGTTAGAATAAAGTATAAACATAAATAAATTTAAAAAAAAGTTAAAAATATGGGTAATTTCATTCATAAATTGAACTTTTAACTCAATAGAAACAGAGCATAGCTAGATATTTCACTCTTCTTTATACCATACATACGTTTTGAGGTATACGTTGAAATTGCGCAACCTGGGTATTTTTATTTGATCGCTTATAACTTACGTAGTTTTGCATCGATTTTCTTCGATGATAGCTTATTTTTTTTGTAATACAACAGAGCTTAGGGAGAAAAAAAAATCTGCAAAAAAATAAAAGATTTTCGAGATCCTTCCCCGCAAAGTACAATTTTTTTTATATTTTTACAAAAAAAATTGAAAAAATTGGTAATGATTGTTCGTTATCTTTGAATCTACAGGGCCTAGCAAAAAGTGTTGTATGCACAGTTTATAGAAAATTTTATTACCTTTTAAAAGCTTCAAACCGTTTTGGAATTGCTTAATTCGTTCTTGAGATATATATGATAAAGTGGACCCAATTAGACCCCATAGAATTAAAAATAACCTTGATTTTCGGAATCAGGGGGTGATTTTACATAAGAATTTCATAACGGCGTTTCTGGTAAAGAGAAAAAGTTGAAATTTGTGGTCCAGTGTAATTAAAGGTTAGATATGTAATTATTTACAGTTGCGCTTTGACAAAGGTTGCATTTACGAAGGAGGGACAAAAGGTAAAGAATGAAATTCCTTGGTAATATAATAGTAGGAGAAAAGTACCCAAAGTAGACAATTAGTAGTAAACATTAATTTGTAAGTTCTGTTGTATTTGCCTTGAACTTGGCATTTTAAATGAAATATTAAGAAATATACGTGAATTATGTAATTTATGTGCTAGTTAGCGGTACAAAAACTGCGAAAGCTCTCAAAAATAAAATAAAACTATTAAGCATTGTATTTAAATAGCATATTTTGAAGTTTTTATATTTTAACTAGTTGAATGTGTTTTATACGTATACAAATAAATACGTTGTCCGAAAACTAATATTTTTTTTTACTTTTGCAAGTAAGCTACTATTTTTGAAGCAAATTTGTAAAGAAGCAACACGGTTGCGGTGCTAAAGGAGCTATGGGAGCGAGACAACTGTCAATTTATCGAACCTTTAATTATTGAATCATGACCACCTTGCATAAATTCACCTTGGATCACTAATTTTTTGTACATATTTAAAGTTTGCGACAGTGAACTAGACAGCGCTGATGATGGCATTTTCACAACACCAAACTACCCCAATTCCTATTATGAACACATGGAATGTACTTTTACCATACGTGGACCTGTGAACTCCGTTGTACACATAAATTTTACTGATTTTTCGATAAGCAAAAAAGATGACAGTCCTGAATTTGGTAGCCCCTCCTCTAAGGCACTGGATAATTCTACACCCATAACTGGCGGCGAAAGTTTTGTTGATGTAATTTGGTCTAATATAGTACATACTTATTGCCAGGAATTAATTATGAATGTTGTAATTGCACAGGTATATGTATCGAAAGATATTAGACAGCGATATTATGAAGGTACATACCTTCATCTTGTATCGGAGAAAAATGTGATGCGTGTAACATTTCATGGAGGTACAAATCAACAAAAAGCCCGCGGAATTCGTGTTGAATACTATTTTCAGGAAATGAAATGTGGAGGTGTTCTCACTGGAGAAAGCGGTCATTTTTCTCATGAAGGTGTAGCAGGGCCTTCGGAGGAGAACTGTGAATGGATTATCGAAGCGTCAAAAGGAAAAAATATTCAACTAAATTTACACTTGTGGCGTTGGAATATTATTAAATGCAGTCAAGAAGATGTAGATGTTGATGTATATTCAAATGATACCTCCACCGGTTCGCAACTTTTATTAAGGTAATATAGTAGTTTGGCTATTCCGAAAACTAATATATTTGATAAAAAATTATTTCCTAGTTCTTGTGGTCAAATCAAAGAAATCAATGAGACATTTCATGTTAATACAATGACTGTATTCTTGCATTTGAGGCGCAATATAAACACCATGTTAGAAATCACCGCAAGCTTTAAACTAGTTGATAACAAAGAAGGTAAGAGAATGTGAAGAAGAGATGTAATAATTATTATTATATAATTATATACAACTAGTTTATCCTTTAATATATTATTATTATATAATTACTAGCTCATACCCGCGGGTTTCACCCCGCGCTTTTATGCAAATATGAAAAATAATTTAATGATGATAGATTTTATTTCTGTGCCCATTTCGTTATAAGCGAGTTAAGGTAATTAGGCCGTTTAAAACTATGAAATTATAAAATCTCGTCTGCGCGCTAGGCATACGAAAGATATCAATCCCTCTAAGTTTACCATAAAATGGTTCCAGGTATACGACGCGTGAACGTGTAACCTTCTTGGAGGTGCCACGGTGGGTTCTAATATTTCCAGCGCAAATTTAGTAACCTGGCCTTGATGAAATACCACTTCTCATTACTGTAGCAAATACCTCAAGAGAGCTTTAGATTATAAGGGCGAACCCGGCTCTCCCTTTTCCATTTAATGAAATTTATTCTGTCAGTACGGCACTTATAAAATAAATCTCCATAACAAATTTAAAATACTTCGGGAGATTTTCTATCCTTCCAGAGATATTTATTAAGAAGTTTTTAGTATGTATGGGTGGCGACATGCCTTCTTTTTTAATAACTCACATGAGCAGTTGATACATTTTGTATACACAACTCCATACCAAGTTCCAGTATTCTTCCACAAACACTTCCAGGGATATGTGGCAAGAAAAAGTAAATTTGTACTGGAAGTGCCACGCCCCTTTTTTTTATAACCCTAATCTTCTTCCATGAATTTAGAATTGATTTTACATACCACAGTACCAAGTCCCAGTACTCCACCATGAACACGTCTAGAGATAAGCAGTATAAAACAGTAAATTTGTACGGGAGGAACCATGTCCCCTTTTCGAATAACGCAAATTTTTCTCCATGAGTATGGAATTAATTTTGTATACACATCTCGGTGCCAAGTTCCAGTCCTCTGCAATAAACACCTCCAGTGATATGCAGCATAGAAAAATCAATTTGCATGGGAGTTGCCACACCACCTTTTCCAATAACTCTAATTTTTCTCCATGAGTATGGTATTAGCCCATTTTTCTCCGTGAATATGAACATGATTTCACACAGTGTTGGCAAACTGTTAATCTGATTAAAATTAACGATTAAAATGTTAATCGCATTTGACGATTAAAATTAATTAGTCGTAATCAACTGTACGATTAATGATAACAGCTTTTTAATCGTTAATCGCTGGCTGCGATTACGTTTAATTAATTTAAAACATTATTCGTTAATCCAATTAAAAATAAAATCTGATTAAATTGTCTAGTTTGTCCGAGTTTGAAACCAACCACCAGTTGTAGTAATTATTTTGTGTTTTACGCTTATAAAAAGCACATAATATACAAAAATTATAATTATTGTTATTAGTAATACATAAACTGGGAACTTTTGCTTTCCTAGTTTGTATAACGTTTGTTGGTTATATCTTAATGAAAATGCACACCAAATTGCTTAGATTGATGAGGAATTAACTTGCTTTGTGTGCACAGGGAAATTCCAGCATAACTTAATTAATCACCAAACCTACTTGACCAAATTAAGAGTTAATGATTAAAAATTAATTTTTTAATCGCGGTTACGATTAAGTGTTTAGTCAGATTAAAATTAATCATGATTAACTGTAATCAGATTGAATTTAATCGAGTTAGCTAACTGATTAAAACATCAATCGATTAAAGCCAACATTGATTTCACATACATATCACTATACCAAGTTTCAGTTCTCCCCCACAAATACTTCCAGAGATATGTATGTAATATGAAAATTCCAATTTGTATGGGAGGGACCTTGAGTTACCGGACTTACTTTCAGTCTAAGACCATCCTTCCGAAATCCGTAGTAAGTGTACTAAATTTCGTTCTGATCGGAAAACCGGTTAAGGAAGTAGCCTATTTTTCAATCCCGGTCATAAACCACCTTTGAGCAAAATTTCACTTTCAAACAGGTGGCAATTCTTAAAAAAGTAGCCTATTTTCCAGCCTAGGTCATAAGCTATCTGTGTGCAAACTTTCATGCAAATCAGTTCAGTAATTTACGCGTATTAATTTAATTAACCTTTTCTAATACCTGATAACTCTTAAAATAGTAGCCTATTTTCCAACATAGGTCATAAGCTATCTCTGTGCGAAATGTCATGCAAATCTGTTCAGTCGTTTCCGCGTATTAATATAATTAAAACTTTTTAACAGGTTGCAACTCTTCCAAAAAATTTTCCTCTTTTCCACTGTAGGTCATAAGCTATCCGCTTGCAAAATTTCATGCAAATCCGTTCAGACTTTTCCGCGTATTAATTTAATTAAACTTTTTTAGCAGGTGGTAACTCTTAAAAAAAGTAGCCTATTTTTCAACCTAGCTCATAAGCTATCTGTGTGAAAACTTCCATACAAATCAGTTCATTCATTTCCGCGTATTAATTAAATTAAACATTTCTAACAGGTGGCAAGTCTTAAAAATAGTAGCCTACTTTCTAACCTAGGTCATAAGATATCTGTGTGCAAAGTTTCATGCAAATCCGTTTAGTCGTTCCCGCGTATTAATTTAATTTAACTTCTTCAACAGGTGGCAACTCTTCCAAAAAATTAGCCTATTTCCCACTGTAGGTCATAAGCTATCTGCTTGCAAAATTTCATGCAAATCCATTCAGTCGTTTCCGCGTATTAATTTAATGAAACTTTTTTAACAGGTGGCAACTCTTAAGAAAAGTAGCCTATTTTCCAAATTTTCATGCAAATCCATTCTGTCGTTCCCGCATATTAAATAAATTAAACTTTTTTAACAGGTGGCAACTCTTAAAAAAATAGCCTATTAACCAATCTGGCACATATGCTCTCTGCGTACAAAATTTCATGCAAATCCGTTCAGTCGTTTCCGCGTGATGATTTCCCAAACATCCAAACATACAAACTTTCACATTTATAATATTAGTAAGATATACAACTAGTTTATACTTTAAAATATTTGGCCACATCCAGGCCAAAGAAAAACTGCAAACTGCACTTAAGTACAATTCTGGCAACGCAAACCTTATCACCACTTATTAAAAAAAATTGTAGAATTTAGCTCGAATGCAATGAGACATACACTGATTCAAAGGATATAACTTCCTCTAATTTAGAAATACTAACCACCTTACATAGGCGGTGTGGCATTTGACATACAGACCAAAATGTTAAAACCGATATATCTCTAAAATTAATTGCGCTGTTGTGTAGTGGTTAGCAGGGCGCGCTGCAATACCGAAGGGCCTGGGTTGTAGCCAACACAAAAAAAAAACCTTTTTTCTAATAGGGGTCGACCCTCGGCAGGCAATGGAAAACCTTCGACTGTGTTCGGTCATATAAACCAGATTCTTATAAAATTACATTCGCCGCGCGGAGGCGGCCCCTCCCTTTGTGTGATAACATTAAGGCGCACGCCACAAACCGGAGAAGAAGCTCGGCCAAACACTAACATATGTGCACGGTTACCATACGACAAAAATATTTCTGACCAGAATTTACAAAAAAGTTACCAAGTCAAAAACAACGTTTTATTATATAATAAACTGTAAAAACAAACGTCCTTTATTTGCCATAAATAAGACATGGGTACAATAAATAGTTTTATTAAAAGAAACTTATAGAAATTCATTTTACAAAAATTTTTTAGTAAAGGGTGAACACACCAAAACTGCGACACTTTGGGAAGCTTATAACTTACCCAAAACGAATTCAATATTTTAAAATTCAAATACCATAAGCTGACCATGACCTTAGTTGGACGTAGAAGAAATTTCATTTGAATTTGATTCCTAGTTGAGTTAAAAATGGCAACCGAGTTAGAAACGAGACAAATCATTTTGCACGAGTTTATAAATGATCCGGCCTTAAGTACACGTAAAATTGCTAAAAAATTTAAGATGCACTATTCGACAGTTTGCAGGGTTTTAATCGGTACAAATAAGGCCTGGCAGTTAAGAGAAAACCAGGAAGCGGGGGTTAGCATGGTCAAAGTGATAAAAACAGTGCTCGGTAGGTCCTCAGTGCGTTTTCGCGAGATCCGAAGATTTTTTCGCGTTATGTTGCAAAATCCGTCCGGAGATCGCAGTTTTTCGTACAAAAGGTAAAGTGGAAAGCTTCATTGAGATGTTCTACAGCTCAAACAGCGTCAGACCGAGGCGCAAAGTAGAATGCTACAGCGAAATCCCGCATTCGGAAGTTTTACGAATTCTAAATTAAAAAATACAACTGCATTGTTATGGACTACGAGCCTACTGCTATAAAAATTCAAAATATATTGCGGGTCAAGATTTTTATACTGCTGCAAGTCGTCAAGATGCCCCTGAAAGTTGTAAGCTGAAAATGAAGTCCAAATTTCCAAAAAACCACATGGTTTGGCAAGCTATTTGTTCCTGTGGCCGTAAGAGCAGCCCTTTTTTTCCATCCGGGACAATGAATGATCAAGTTTATCGGGATGAGTGCCTCAAAAGGCGTCTTCTGTCATTTATCAACAGATAAGGAGTAGGCCACTGTTCTAGGCGGACATGGCAACCTGCCACTATGCCAAGGACACATTGCCGTGGTATAATGCAAATAACATCATTTTTGTACCTCACGACTGCAATCCACCCAATAGCCCAGAGCCATGCCCTATTGGGGAATATTGGTCAATAGTCAAAGGAATCTTGAAGAAAACAGGTGAAACAGTGAAAAATATTGAAGAGTGCAAAACAAAGTAGTTGTGCGCATCGCGTAAAGTCGATGATGCAGTCGTGCAAAATATGATGGTGCGTGTGCGATGAAAATACCGATCACTTGCATATGGAGAAAATAATAACTAATATTTTAACATTGTAATAACATCTTAACTTCCAAGTTATATAATACAAAAAAAATAATTTCAAAGCCTTCTAGTTTGTTTCTGGTAGTAATTTCTAAGTGTCGCAGTTTTGGTGTGTTCACCCTTTAATATG